TTAATTTACTCAGAAGATTGTATAGATTATTTTTATAACTGATCTAGTTAAGATACTTTTATGTTGAGGATGAGGTACAAACTGTAGTTTAAAGTTTTTGAGAAACCTTTGTTGCAGGATCAAATGACTATACAGTCACACCAGGTGATATGAAGAAACAGAAAAAGAAAATGTTGAAAATATTGTATTTGAAACATTAAAATAATCTTACTTGTGCTTAAAATGTGATTACACTTCCTCAACCATGTTATCACCTATTAAAAGTTTCTATTTTAGTAACTTATTTTATTCTTTCTTTCTTTTTTTGTTTTGTCTTGGGTAATTAGAAGATAAACCACTCTTTTTTGTGTTTGTTTATTTCTTTAATAAAAGACTTCGCAATGGATCCAACGGATGGCAAGTGTTCTCTCATTGTTGCTTTAAGTTGCATTTCCTTAATAATTACTGACACTGAGTAAATTGCACGTGCTTATTATCCAGTTGGATATCTCTTTTAAAAACATGCCTATTCAATTTCTGTCTCATTTTTTAGTTGACATTATTTCTTGTTAAATTGTAAAAGATTTTATATATTCTAGATACCTATTTCGTATTACATATGTAATTGAAAATACGTATTCTTTGCAGATCCTTGATGGTGTACTTTGATGAACAAAACTTCTAAATTTTGCTGAAGTCCAGCTTATCTCTTTTGTGTGTATGTGGCTTATGCATTTGGTGGCATATACAAGAAATCACTGCCAAATACAATGCCGTGAAGTTATTCCTTGTGTTTTTTTTCCGATACTTTTATAATTCTGGTTCTTACATTTAGGTCTTTATTCATTTTTTACTTAATTTTTCTATATGGTATAAGGCAGTGATCCAACTTCGATATTTTTAATGCAGACATTCAATTTCCAAACAAAATTTATAAAAGAGTGTCCTTTCCCAATTGAATGAACTAGATTCCCTTGTCAAAAAATGTTTCCATATATGTGAGAATCTATTTCTTGACTCTATTTTCTTCCATTTGTCTATGTCAGGCTTTATGCCAATCCCATACTGTCTGGATGACTGCAGTTTTTAGTAGGCTTTAAAATCAGAGAATGAGTTTTTAAATTTGTACCTTAAATTTTTTTTTTTAATGTTAAGCTATTAAGAATTCCTTGAGATTACATCTAATTTTTGGATTGGTTTCTCTACTTCTGGAAAATATATATGTCATTAGAATTTTGGCAAAAATTTCGTTGAATTTCTATGTGACTTTGGGTTTTATTGGCATCTTAACAGTATTAAGCTTCCCAATCTATAAATATAGGATGTATTTCCTATTATTTGTATCTTATTTAGTTGCTCTTTACAACATTTTGTCATTTTCAATGTTCAAGCACGATACTACTTGGCTATGTTTATTCCTAAGTAGTTTGTTTCCTTTTTGATGCTATTACAAATAAGATAGTTTTTTACAATTTATAGTGTATAGAAGTGCAGCAGGTTTTGTTGTTGCTGATTTTGTATTCTGCAATTTTACTAATTGTGTTTATTATTTGTAACAGTTTTTCTGTGCTTGGAATAAAGTTTTCTAAATAGATGATTATGTCATATGCAAATAGAAATAATCTTACTCCTTTCTTTCACATTAGGATAACTTTTATTTCTTTCTTGCTTTAGCTATACTTCCAATAATATGTTGATTAGAAGCAGTAAAAGTAGAAATCTTTGTCATTTTCAAATCTTAGAGAAAAAGCTATCAATCTTCTGTTATTGTTCATGACTGTGGGTTAAATTGTGGGTTAAATTGTGAACTGTGAATTAATTTTTATACCTTTTTTTGTTTTATTCAGTTAACACATAGACATGGTACCAAGAGTCCACTGGATAAAATGTTGGTCCAATAACCAACATTTCCTAATTCCAAAGGAAATAACTTTAAATTATTTTACTCACGATTTTGCCATATTTGCCCATGTATTTTCAAACAATATGCTTATCTTAATTTCTACATCTGAAATGTCATCCCTTGACTCATGTCCCAGGTCACTGTGGATAATAATCCCCCTAACATAGCCACCTCCATGCTTCTTACCTTTTTCTTATTTCTCAAAATATTTGCATTCTATTTTATGTCTGGGAGGAGGAGCTGACAGCATTATTTCATCTTCCAGAATGCACTGGTAAAATGCAAAAAATGTAAATTTTTGCAAAATTTGAGGATAATATATATATATTGATTCTCATTATTATTACTATTTTATCTCTCAAAAGGTTTTAGAATTCTGTCTTTGCAAATAATGTTGAGAATGTTTAGGAAATGTGCAAGAGACGACGAAAATATTTTTAATAAAATATTTGTCATTTTTTTCTTTATGATCTTTGCTTGTCAATTGTAGATGGTGGCTAATATATTTCAGTTCTGAGAAAATGTGTTTTTTATAATGCTTACTTCATTGTTATTCTACTATGTACCTTTCTAGGAATGCCTATGAGCATATGTTATTTCTCCTATATTAGTTTTCTAATTTTTCTGTGTTTTCCAAATGTCAATCTATTCATGTTGTTGCTTCTGTTTTCCTGCTGATAGATTTTTTCCATTTTTCTTGAAACATTAAATTTATATTTTATTACTTATTATATACTTAATCTTTGTTATCTGTCACTTTCTTTTATAAAGCTGGCAATATTTGTGTTGTGGATTTTGTGACATATCACAAAATATATGGATTCTTAATATATGAATTCTTTTTTTTTTTTTTTTTTTTTTTTTTGAGTTGGAGGCTCACTCTGTCGCCCAGACTGGAGTGCAGTGGCCGCTCCCGGCCACCGCAGCCTCGACCTGCCGGACTCCGGCGATCCTTCTGCCTCAGCCTTCCGAGTAGCCGGAATTACAGGCATGCACTACCATGCCCGGCTGATTTTTTGATTTATTGTAGAGATGAGGTCTCGCCTGCCCAGGCGGGTCTCGAACCCGTGGGCTCAGGCAATCCACTCACCTCAGCCTCCCAAAGGCACGGGATTACAGGCATATATGAATTCTTATTTCAAAAAAGTTTATTTTTGTATTTTCTTTCTACATATTCCCAGTCATTTTTAACTCAGTGTATATACATGTTTGTGTATGTTTGAATGGGCACATGTTTTGTGCACATTATATAGATCTTACTGTTTCACGTTTTTTCACTTCCTCAAAAGTCTGGGGACCTTTGGTTCTAAAATAACTTTTAAACCTAAAAAACTACAACTCATTTAGATATATTGTGCAAAGTTATCTACTGATGTTTTCTATCTGGAGAAGAATCCTCCTAACCATCTCTACACAGCAGACTGCAGTATACTATCTCCTTTTTTTCCATTTAGATAAATGACCATTCCTCCAAATTTCTACTTTTGAAGTAGTCATAAAGTAATGCATAATATTAGAAACGAAAAGACAGGATACACATCCTATTTGGGAGAACTTGAGAAGAAACATGGTTGGTGTATCAATAGTCAGGCAAGAGATGTGTGCTTTTTTTTGTTTGTTTTGAGTTGGAGTCTCACTCAGTCGCCCAGACTGGAGTGCAATGGCCGCTCCCGGCCACCGCAGCCTCGACCTGCTGGGCTCCGCGATCCTTCCACCTCAGCCTTCCGAGTAGCCGGAATTATAGGCGCGTGCTACCACGCCCGGCTGATTTTTGATTTATTGTAGAGATGAGGTCTTGCCAAGTTGCCCATGTGGGACTCGAACCCGCGGGCTCAGGCAATTCACTCACCTCAGCCTCCCAAAGGCTCGGGATTACAGGCTGAGCCACCGAGCCCGGCTGAGATGTGTGCTTTAACTATATCATTTGGAAATTGGTAGAAGAGGCAAAAGAAACAGATCATGGTAGTTATTGAAAATCAAAGATATTTATTATACTTTGTGTAAAAATACTTGAAACTAAGGATTAATTCTAGATTTCTAAATAGAAGAATCAAATAACAATACCTGACTTAAAGGAAGTTTGACTAGGTATTATTGTGAAAGGATCATTCAAGAAGAAAGCATAGTTCCTCAAAAAGAGTGGTAGGCTGTTGCAGTTTTAGTGATCAGTTTTAAAGAATAAATATGGAAGAAAAAAACATCCAGTCAGCATAATACTAATTTATTCATAACATGGACCTATAATGTATGCATTTACATTGACTTTTTATGTGTATGTTTTGAGTATAACATCAGATTTTGATAATATCTGAGTTTGTTACATGCAATAAAGCATTCACGAATGCTTATGTAATTAACCTTCACTTGTACCCCACATCTCTACAATTAAAAAAGTAAAAATACGCTCATTTAAAACTTTTTAAAAATTGTTTATTTCTCATGAATTGCATTTTCTTTAAAATTTTTTGATTATACATGTTTTTCTCACATTAACCTCTGGGTACAATATCAAGAATTTAACTTTTTAAAAATGGTAAGAACAGTTCATCATTTAAAAGGTATACGTTTTATGAATAATTTAAAGTCAAACAAAACTAAGAATTTTTTTTAAATTTCAAGTGTTCCATAAACTATCCATGGTTTCACTTGCCCATGATCAACTCTGGTCTGCTAATATTAAATGGAAAAATCTGGAAGTAAACAATTCCTAAGATTTAAATTTTTTATAGTAGCCTAACGCTGCATCACAATGTCTGCATTACTCACCTAACTTTATCTCATCACATAGATATTTTACCACATAAGCATTTTATCATCACACAAAATATTTCATCTCACAAAAAGAAGAGTAAGTACAATACAATAAGATGTTTTGAAACAGAAAGACAGAGACTACCCTCAAATAATTCTATTACACTACACTATTATAATCATTCTGTTTTACAATTATTATTGTTAATCCCTTATGCCTAACTTATAAATTGAATTTCATCATAATTATAGATGGATAGGAAAAATAGCTTATGTAGGGTTCATTATCACTCTCACTTCTGGCAACCACTGAGGGTCTTGAAATGCATTCCCTGCGGATAAAGATGAACTCACTCCTGTATCTCCCTTTAGGAAAAAATCATACGAATGCCAAATGGAAAATTATAATCAAACATCAACTGATTTCATCTTATTGGGGTTGTTTCCGGCATCAAGAATTGGCCTTTTCCTCTTCATTGTCATTGTTCTCATTTTCCTGATGGCTCTAATTGGCAACCTGTCCATGATTTTCCTCATCCTTCTGGATACGCATCTCCACACACCCATGTATTTCTTACTAAGCCAACTATCTCTCATTGACTTAAATTATATCTCTACCATTGTCCCGAAGATGGTTTCTGATTTCCTATGTGGAAACAAGTCTATCTCCTTCATTGGGTGTGGTGTTCAGAGTTTCTTCTTCTTGACTTTAGGAGGTGCAGAAGCACTGCTTTTGACATCCATGGCCTATGATCGTTACGTGGCTATTTGCTTTCCTCTCCATTACCCCATCCGTATGTGCAAAAGAATGTGTGTGCTGATGATAACAGGATCTTGGATACTGGGCTGCATCAACTCCTGTGCTCATACTGTATATGCACTCCATATCCCTTATTGCCAATCCAGGGCCATCAATCATTTCTTCTGTGATGTTCCAGCCATGTTGACTCTGGCCTGCATGGACACCTGGATTTATGAGTACACCATATTTGTAAGCACGTCTATATTTCTTGTGTTTCCTTTCATTGTTATTGCAATTTCCTATGGCCAGGTTCTCCTTGCTCTCTACCACATGCACTCAGCAGAAGGGAGAAAGAAGGCCTATTCGACCTGTGGCACCCACCTCACTGTAGTGACTTTCTACTACGCACCATTTGCTTACACTTATCTATGCCCAAGATCCTTCCGATCTCCAACAGAGGACAAGGCACTGGCTGTCTTCTATACCATTCTCACTCCAATGCTCAACCCTATCATCTACAGTCTTAGAAACAAAGAAGTAATGGGAGCTTTGAGACGATTGAGTCAGAGACTTTGCTCTGTGAAAATCTAGACACACTTTCTTCCTTAGTGTCCAAGCACTAGGTTTATGCCAATTTAGCATAAATAGTCATTAAGTAAGATATTAATCCATGCCTAGATGATGGAACAAAAGTATTTGTAGAAGATTTTTAAATTAGGCTTGACATGATGACAGTGTATACCCAAGCATCAACTTCGTTTTTCTTTGTGTTCATTTTTTTATCAAAATTAAAAATACATATTTTATCAAAAGAAATTTATTTTTCATTAAGTTTTGAGCAGTTTTATTTTACTATATGAAGAAATAAAAATGGAAAATGTTCAAACTAAAGATATCATTCAGCATATTAGTTCAGGATATTTATCTCATCTATTGTCAAATTATTTAGGATTGCTAACTAATAATAAAATATTTTTTTTACTCATAAGTGGTGTGGACAGCTTCTTCTTTTTCAAAATGCTTGTGCAAACTGACAGAAACAATGCTTTGGAAAGAGCTCCTCAAAGATTTAGAAACTCTTTTAGTAATGTGAATAAAATATGATAAGTTTATATCTTCTTTGAGAGACGCCTGTATTTACTGTGCTCATTCCAGAGAAGTAATTTGTAATAAGTTTACCTCAGGATAAATAATTATGTCTGAAGAGAAGCCAATGAATTAGTGATACACAGCTGACCCTTAAACAACACTGGTTTGAACTGTAAGGGTACACTAATACGCAGATATTCTTCCACCTCTGTCATCCCTGAGACATCAAGACCAACCTTTTCTCTTCCTCCTTCTCAGTCTACTCATCATGAAGATGACAAGATGAAGATCTTTATGATGACTTACTTCCATTTAATAAATAGTGAAAGACTATTCTCTTACCGATGTTTTCATAATAACCTATTCTTTAGATTGTTATTGTAAGATACAGTCTATAATACATATAGCATACAAGTACATGTTAATCAACTGTTTACATTATTGCTAATGTTTCTGGTCAGCTGTAGGGTATTAGTACTTAAGATTGGGGGCGTTGAAAGTTATATGCAGGTTTTCAACAACATGTTCAAGGGTCAACTGCATTACCATTGAAAATAATCCATTCCCCAGACTAGAAAGTACACATTTCACTAGATGATATGAATGTGGATATGTATTTATACTCATGCCAATTAAGCATTTAGTGTTTGCTAGACTATTTCGTGATTTAAATCTTGACTTACAGAATGGCAAGTTGGTATAACTTGCTTCTCCCTCATTTAAATTAAGTATAATTTTCTCATCACAAGGAACTATTTTTAAATGTCATAATAATGTGGAAATAGGTAATAATTGCTTGCTGCTGAAGGACTTACTAATCTCTCTTAAATAAAATACAGTCAAATTTTTATGAAAAAAAAAAAAAGACAAACACTACTTATAACTAATGACCAAGTACGTACTAAACACTCGTTACATTGTAGGAAAGACACAAAGACATGCCACACAAAATGATGAGACAATATAGCAACAAGTTAATTTAGGCCTTTTTCTCTTTCCTTGGAGTATATACGTTTAATCTTAAATTTTTCTACATTCTCCCAACATTAACATTTTAAAGACTTTCTCTCTTCCTCAGTCCGTCTAATCACTCCCTTACTCCAAGTCCTCATCCTTTCTGTACTAGACTTTTTCAAACCAAACCAAATCAAATTAGAATTTGGAATCTGATATTATTAGCTATGATTTTTCACTGAAAACACAGATAAAATTTCAGTTCTATTTAAACAGAAAATATAATACCACAAGACAGCAACAATAACAAAGGTGGAAAGTCTTGCAGAATCTCCAAAGATAGAGTTGATTCATGTCTGAAACCCTGCTATCATGAGCAATTTTCAATATGTGCCTTATGAGTTCTGTGAAATCATCCCTGTTGCCCCTTCCAAGTGTCATTCAAAGTCCCAAAACCATAATAAATACAAGTATTTTTAAAAAGAAAGAAATATGATTATAGAAACTTGGTGAATTTATTTCTGTGTCTGTTTCCTTAGAGATTGTGTACTTACCCTGATTCTTTGAGAGACCTATTCTTATGTTGAAGTCTAGAACCAAAAATCTAATAAATAATCTATACCTAGTCTTGGTCATAACTTTAAGCAAAGCTGTGACATATTTGAGTTCTATCACAGATATTGAAACATTTGCTTTCTGAGACATGTCCGAAAAGAATTCAGATATATAAAGAATGGTATATGGATTCAAGACTTCGTGCTGAACCAGGAGACCTAGGGTTTCTCATATATCAATTCACACACATGGGCAGGAAGAGGGAGATATAGAATATGTGAGAAATTTGCTTTAGGCAAGGTGACTGGAGAAATAGACACGGGAGAGGAAAAGAATCGAAGCCATTTGGTCTCTGTTCTCCAATTAGTATCCACCTCCCCCACCCCCCCAAAAAAACCTATGGCCCAGTTTGGACAGATAGTAAACAGAATCACGGGAAAAACAGAGAATGAGAGAAAGGCCCTGCCATGAAAGAGTTTGTGAAACTATTAGACAAACATTGGTGTTGCTAGGTCCTAGTGATGGAGTGTGACCAAGAGCTGTGTGGAAAGGTCATCTCCTCACTTAATTAATGAAAACATGTGTGGCAGCAACATAGGAATGTCTATCACTCACTTTAGCATCTCAAAGCTTCTGCATCTTTTAGATTTTCTGGCATGGAGGTTTCCTGGGGAGGATCCCAATGACTCTCATATCTTCTCACAAGTTGTTGGAATCAGAACATGATTGTTTTACCATGACTTAGCCTCCCTGCACACGTTTCTGTTCCTTCTTCTTCTATTAATACTTCATTCCAGACTGACATTCAGAAACAAGAATAAAAATATTACATATCTCACTTATATGTTATATCTAAAAATAGGTGGAATACATAGAAAACAAAGGGTAGATTGGTGGTTAATAGGAGTGGGGTGGAGGAGGAAATAGACAGAAGTATGTTCAATGGTACAAACTTGCAAATATGTGAGATGACTAAGTCTAGAGGTCCAATAAGGTCTATAGTTAAAATATAATGAGAATTTATTGAAAGAATGGATTTTAATTGCTCTACTATAAAAATGGTAACTATGGAATATTATGTATAGATTAATTTCCTTTAACTATATAAGTATGTGTCGAGCATTATATTGTAGAGTGAAACAATCAATCAATTCAGACTACCTTGAAGTTACTTCCGGAATTACCGAAATAAAAGATATTTGATATCATTTTACTTAGAATAGAAAAGGACATCTGCAGAATCATACCCTACAAATCTGCACCTGAAGCTTTTGCTCTCTTCACACTACATTGAATGCCATTATCTGAACAAGCTATGGAAAGTCAACCCTTGCTTGCATTAGGGATGCAATGGCTTGTATCTTCAGTGCATTACACTCTATCCTCATGAAATTCTTTGACAGGATAAATTATATTTCTCCCTTTTCTCAAGGTTAACATCAGGCATCATCTACATAAGGACACATCCCTGGATCCACATGTTCACCGTATCCTTCTGTTCTACTCCCTTCCATCTCACTATTCCTAACAATGAAACATGTCATTGCAGAGTATTGCCATCATCTCTTTTCCACTATCACTTCATGGACCACACTCTGTGAACATCCCTGGCTTGCTCTCTTCTTCTTCATATGCCCAGATCTTGATTACCATGCACCTGTTCTGCATTCAAACTATTCTTCCTCAAAGAAAGTTTATTTTAGTCCACTTCATTTCCACTGAATATTTAGAGTCAGTCTGCAAAGGGTCTTCCCAAAAAAACCCACTTATTTGTATTATTATTTTCACATTATAATTAGAATAAGTGTCCACCAAAAAACAAAAGCTTCAGATTTGAGTGTGATTTCACAAAATCTACAGCATAATTTGTAGGAAAAAAAGTGTTAAAATATGTTCTTTATCAAGTATCTTGTTTCATTAATGAAATTGATCTCAACACATAAATGCCTATTTATGAAGGAGAGAAAATGATACATATCTTATTTAACATGTATGGGAACAATTTCTTTTAATTATTTCACAGATTCTTTACAACTGTAATTTTGAGATAGGTCTTGCTATGTTGCCCAGCCTGATCTTAATCTTCTGGGTTCAATGGATCTTCCTGCCTCAGGCTCTCAGAAGCGATGTTTACTGGTATGTACCACTATGTTCAGTTCCCTTACACAAGACTTTGATGCAAATGTTTATCACCTGAATCTTGCATTTTTGAAACATAGAATGGGGCTTCTTTTTCAAAGTAAATATCAATGATTAATCATTTAAAGTCCTGCATAATTTAATTAATAATTCAGTTGGAATGACCATAGAAAATAAAAAGTAAAAACAGTTCAGTTTCATTTATTTTTCTTACTCTTGTCTCTTCCTTCAGTATAAACCAAGTTGTGGCCACTCTGAAGCTGCTTTGTGGTTTCTCTGGGGAAGTGTGAGGTATTCAGTTTCCACTTCCTTCCACAGCATTCTCAGAGGGAACAGGAGTGTTTCAGAATCCTTCTCTGGGCTTCCTGGGGCTGGGTAGGAGCTGTAAGAGATTCCCTCAGAGCTTCTCTGCCTGCACACAGAACCATCCTGACCTATCTACCCTCCTGTGCCGCCTGCACATAGTCATTGTCCCTGAAAGAGGATCCACCTTGCATCAGACCACAGACTTCTAGAGTTTTCCATCTCAAGTCCATTTGAGTTTGACCTCATATTCCCCACATCTGCATAGAGGAGCCCAGGAGTGGTGTCGAAGCATGACCTAGGATGTCTTTCCTTTGGAAATCGTCCCCTCTTCTCAAATAAGGATTCTCACTTCATACCACAGCACAAATGTGTTTTGTCTTCTAAAGAAGATGTTAAAGCAGTGCACTACATGTGTCACCTGCTGTTATGTTCCAATAAAATATTCTAAACTTAACAGATAAAATATATATGCTTTCAGACATATGAATATTGAAACATCTGTGCACTTTGACTATCAAGACATTGCTTTCCCCAGGTGTATAAACTATTCTGACTGGATCATTGCACAATAT